AGTCATGGAGCAGAGGAAGGTATTGGTTAGTCTCGCACGTGATTGAATTGTGGCCGTTGAAACATCAACGGTTAGCCTCACGCTAAAAGTCAAAACCACCCTCGTGCAAAGTGCGCCTCTAAAGTGCCTCATTGCGCCGCACACATGCGCACACGCGTTGCACGGTAGCAAGCCTCCTACTCTCATCTTTATTTCTAAGGAGTGTAAATAAAGTATTATTTAAAAACTCAAAACAAGTCTTGTAATTTTTCAATGTGGGATAAGTTAAAAACTGATTTTAATAAGAGAAAAAATTATTTTTTAAGACATATATACAAATGTATTTTTATGTAATTGATCAATCAAACTTCATTGAATTTAATATTTAATGAGATTAAAATCCAACAAAATCTAAGGCACTTTCCTATTGGGGATACAACAACGAATATCTCAGATATTTTTATGCATATATCTTATGTTTTATCTGTATGATTAAGATGTCTAAAATTATCAATTTTAAGGGAGATAGAAGATATTCTGATAAGGGAATAAGAGAATTGCCCAAGTCATCAATGGCTAAAATACCAAGAGAAAGGCTGGTCAAGTATAATCAGTCTTATAAGCAGATTAGACTCAATAAACTTGATACATATTAATAGGACCATAAGTGAAGGTCATAAATATTATTTGATAAATCAGAATGTTGGCAGAAATAGTAAATATAATTTTTCTTTTGGGTATTGAGTCTAAATGGCCCTTTTTTTCCTTTCTTTTGTTCTTTAGTTCAATTTATTTTATTTGGTAAGAATTGAAGGTCATAGTGACCCAACGAATGAAGTCTCTTTCATAGTGCGTGTAAATAGTGACCCAACGATTTGTTCCTATGGCCTTTCCAAATCGTCCAGTACCGGATGACACTTTAAATTGACCCTATATCCACTCCATTCCAAATCAGTCTCACATTCTAACTTGTATTTTAAGTTATTTTGTCTTTTGTTTTGTTTTTAACTTTCATATGAAATGTGCAAAGCTGAAGTTTATCATAGGATTAAAGGGAAGTTTGAGAGAGAGAGAGGGAGGGAGGTGAATTTGGTGGAGACGTCCAATCATTTCACAAGTATCAACTAGTTAAAGTGGAGAATTCCACCATATCATTTTAAAAGATAAACTTTTAATTTTCTTAACAACCAAGATTTTTTAAATTGTTTTGAATAGATTTTTCATTGTTCTTACCTTTTGCAATTATTTCTAGGATAAATTGTATGTTAGTGCCCTGTACTTTGGGATTAGTCTCACTTTAGTATCCAAATTTCAAAGTATGTATTCTTGAAAACTGCAAATTTAGTGCCCATTGTTATTAGTCTGTTAGTTATCTGTATCACATGACGATATGTGTGTCTTAAATTTTTTAGAAATTCCAAAACTATGTTTTTAATATTGTTGAGACCACTTTACCTTGATTATCATCCCCAATAATGACAAGAATTACTCATCTTTTTCAAAAACAACATCGGTCTAAATCCCCATTTGTTATGGATTGAATAATTAAAAAAAAGGATTACAAATTTACAACGATGGTGGTGTAAATCCCTCTTCTCCGGCAAGGACATCAACTTCTTCGATGAATATATTTCCATGTAGTTTCTTTAGTAGGAAACACTAGTTCTTGGATAGAAAGGATAGGGCATAAAATGAATAGTGGTGCCCAATCATAGTGAAAAGAGATTTAAACATGGTTATTTTGGTCATTTCAAAATTATGATTTTCTTGTCTATTCAAAATTCAAAAGATATTTGTATCCTTTCACATGCCATCTAACATTAAGTTAACAATTTTGGACTAAATTGGCAGGTTTTGAGAATTTAAGTATTTCAATGACACATTTTAAAATTCAAATACTAAAGTGAGACCAGTCCCAAAACATAAGGTACTAATGTATAATTTACCCTTCTTTTTATTTGATTGTTTCATCATTCTTTTTATAGAAAAAACTACCTTGTACTTTTGGGGTGGTGACACTTACCTCTTTGATTGTGATAGAGAGCTATCATGTACTTTTTGATTCCAACACTTTAGGCTTGTCCCGTTAACAGGTTTGACAATACGGGTAAATTTATGAAAATGCCCCTTCAAAGTTTGATTAGGTGAGAGAAGAAAATGGGGAAAATGAGAAAAATGGACATCATCGATGTGGTATCTCTTTGGGAGTGTTACTTGCTTTCCAAGGTGTTGATGCAACACACTTTGGTCATTCAAGTCTAAGGGATCATTTGATAATGGTTGAAGTTTCTGAACTTAAAGACTTGTTGCTTTGTTTTTTCAGCTCCCATAAACAAAAAAGATGAGGAAATTTACCATCCATATTTACTGGTATAGTGATCTACCCCAACTTCAGTTTCAGAGCCATTAAGTAGCCCATAACCTTCTTAAAAACCTATTTACTAAAAGACAAAACAATAAGCTTTTAAGTTCAACATCTTCAGCTATTATCAAATGGCCCCTAAGAAAAAAAGATATAAAAAGTTGAGAAGTTAATTGATGCAATAAAGAAATGGGCAAAATGATCTCATAAAATAAGGAACAAGTTATTTAGGGTTTTAGAAATGTTTAAAGATGCAAATGACTAGCTATCAGGTGCAAATCTCCCCTAAACTTACCTGATTCTAAATGGGTACAACATAACTCCATTGGTAGGTCTCGGTATTTTATCTCTATTTTTACATATATTTCTATTAATTTTATATTTATCTTGTCAGGCCATTGGACTTGGATCTGGTCAAAATTTAAGAAATGCTCAAGCCAACCCAAGGCAAGTTGCACCCCTAGGCCCTAGCTACCACTTACCAGGCCCAGGCTATCAAATTAAGTTCGGACTTGACCCGTTTCATCTTCCATTTCTCGACCCCAACTCACAAGTCACAAGCAGAAGCAGACCGGTTCGGTGGAAGGCAAAGTCGAAACTCACGAAAGGTGTGGTGGAGTGTATGTACAACGCTGGAAACGCCAAAACAGAACAGAGCAGAGCACTTGGTTCCGATGATAAGAAGGGGTACTAGACGAGAAAGGGGCCAAGTTTCCACGGAGCCCAAGGAGACTGTGGCTTGCTTGTTGACAGCCTAGCCCAGGCAGCAGATGGGCATCTACTAGACTACTACTGCCAAGTGCCAGCAATAGCATTTTACCAAGGGAAAAGGAAAATCAAAGATATTGCACTGCTCCATTTCCTGATAAATGGACACCATTACAAAAGGTGGTTTACAGAAAAAGGCGACAAAACAGACTGAAATAAATGCTTGGAAAAGAAAGTGAAAGAAGATTAGCAGTCAGTCCCCACAGGCCACACCCAATGCGTCTTTCTGTCTCTTTCTTTGGCCAACTCCAGTACTTAAAAGTGCTGATCCTTTGTTGCTACTTGCCTCTGTGATAGAGTACTGTAACCCCAAATACAGAGAATAATTAAAAGACCCAGACTTTTTTGTTTGGTCAAAAAATTTATAGATCATAAGTTGAGGATACCCCAATAAAGAATAACTCATACAAGTATTGGATGCTGGTTTTATTACTATTCTAATTATTATTATGCTGAAATCTGGTTGAATCCTCCATTTTCTACTTATCCTTCACTGGGATTTGGAAAAGGATACTTGATTCATTCTGGTCAAGCCATGGATCAGATGGCCCAAATTAAAACTTTGTGTGATAGATAGCCAGTTAGCCACATGTGAGACTTGCTGATCAAGAAATGAGGAGCCTGCGACGATGGCTATGGTCTGATGAAGGACTAGAGAAGAGAGAGAAAGAAGACTTATGAGACGGTGAGAGACAAAAAGGGAAGACGAAAGTCAGATTTCCAGTGGTCACCCTGCAACTCCCATCTTTTCTTTAGTCTTTTGCTATCTACCTCTCTGTCTTTCTCTCCCGCTCTCGTTCTATTTCACTTCACTTTATTACTGTTGCTGCTGACGAACTGTGGGTTGATCCGTGTCTTCCTTTATGTGGGCCCCCACGTAGAGCTTATTCTAATATTTTAGCTCTCTACTCAATGGTTGTCTCTGCCATGCCTTTCATGCAAAGCTGTTTGCATGCATGGAAAATGGGAATGTTGCAGTGATGATGAAACATATCGTTCTGCTTCTTTCCAGTAGTCCTATACGAATTCTGAGATTATTTCCACTTCGCCCTCTATCCCGAAACTACCCCTACGACTTATATTGATATATTCTTCTTCATCTCTCTCTCCTCTCGTCCTTTTGAACCAGTCTAGTCTTCCACGTAACAGAAGGAAAATTTGTTTGTGAATTGTGATATGTATTTCTTACGACGCAGACGCTTCGAGCTTTGAAACCACGACACAAGGAAGCCGACTTGACTGACACCGGAGATTCACATATATCTGATATTGCATGCACTTTCTTCCTTAGCCACGGTAGCAATAATACACAGTTCAGAAGGAAGCATGGCACAGACCGGAGATTAATATTATTGGTTGAAACTTGAAACATACCACGTGAAAGAAGGAGATAGTGAGATATACGTAGTAGGCTCGATTCGAGCTGTCGCTCAACTGTCACCTGCCTGTATCGATATCGAAAGCTACATGGACCCAACAGCAACCCTAGCTAGCTAAGTAGCATCCATATCAAACCTCCCAACCATAGAGATTGAGTTATTCCAACCTCTACAGAAGGCCCATCTCTCTCTCCAAAGAAAGCAACTTTTAGATGGTAGGCTTCAGGGGAGGGGGGGGTCCAGACTGAGACTATGGCATGTCTATGCATAGCTTTAGAATGTGAGTTCATCATCAATAGATGGGCAATAAGAGTTAATGTTTGTGATTTTACCACTTTCGGTTCGCTTATAGGTTTCGTAACAAGCAACCAAATGCAGGCTACACTGACTAGAAAGAAAGGTAGAAGCTTTTGATCAACGCCTATGTGCTTCATTCATTGTTTAGGTTTCAAAGTGTGAGTAGTTTTATTACGTACGTCCAAGGAAGCTGGCTTGCACGTTCATGGGACAAATTGATGTAAAAAAGCAAACTTTTCTTAGCTAGTTACAGAGATACAAGCATTAATAATAACGTAGTTTAATTATTTTTAGTTTTCTTTGTTCTATTATCTATATCGGATATAGCCTATAGGATTAAATATTAATCGGTAGTAGTGGGTCATCGATCGATCGGGGTTGTCACCATCAGCAGTAGAACATGAGCTTCTTAACATTCTCATTAAGCCTTGGCAATGGTGTTATCTTTGGAGGAGCAGCTCTGGAGAGTGAAGCAGCAGTACTACTTCTTGTAAATTCTGTTGAGTCTGACCTCTCGAGGTAAAGCCTGCCCCTGTATGCAGCAAGGTGGGCATAGTACGCTGGAGGGACCAAAGAAACCGGCTTGGTGCACCTCACGAATGTGTAACATAGATTGTGCACCAGCTTCTGTAGTTCATCGGAGCTGAACCGGTTTTCATCCCACAACACATGGTAATGGGTTGGCCGGCTCGTCCCCTTCATTCCCCAGTGGCTACAGAGATAGAAATCGAACTCCCTGGGGTGAGTAATGATGGAATCTACCACAGTCCCTGGAGGTATGTTCTCATTGATGAAGTTGGCTCCAGCAGAAGATGATGAGTCATCAGTTTCTTTTGGGAACAACCTGGTGTGATGCCTCTTTTGAACTACAGTGAAGGTGATGGCAGGCTTATAACCTGGGAACCTAGAGCAGGCAGCTCTAATGGCCTGCAACTCTTCCTTGAGCACTCTATAGAACTGGGTCTCACTCACCCCATCTCTAAAGAAGATAATTCTCTTAGGAAGTTTGTTAACTTCTTTGCAGAAATCTTCCAGGAGTTCCCACACCATCTCACCAAGGTCCTGTATGATTTCTTGTCGATGGGTCTGAGATCTCATCCTTGAAATGTACTTGTTTGCTGCTGGCCAGTTCATGCTGCCGACAACAGCAGCAATGGAGGGGCTGAAATCATCCAGCGGGTGTGGATGGGTCACGTCAGCACCCATAAATATTGCAGGATCATCAGGCCCAAACAGCCTTGGTATTTGGGAAGGTAATGAATTGTACAAAGCCACAGTGCATCCTCCAACCTTGGCATTGATCTTCAGAGCCAAATTTGCCAGAAACTGAGAATTTAACTTACCAAGGTTGGGGTATAAGCAACACTGGGTCACAACCCCGATGCCTGTCTCGGCAATACGCTTCAAATCTGCATATCCTTTATGCTTTCTCTCCATTACACATATCAGCAATTGGAGGCTGTTCGATGATGCTCTCTGGATTTTCTGGAGCTTGGATTCCAATGCAGAGACACTGTTGAAAACTTGCATTGATTCAAATTGGGGTTTAACGATTGCATTCTTGTTGAGAAAGATACCCAATTGCTCGCACCTTTGCGAGAGTTGATTTATGAATCTTGGAATGCTAGCCCTCTGTTCTGGGGTGCCCCCAAAACTTATCAGAGCCCACCTTTCAATTCGTGTTCCTTCAAAAACATGGCTCTCTAAAAGGTTCCACTGCCGGTCATGGCGGGATGGGATTAGATTTGTTAGATGACCGCGGTCCCCAAGCTTCAATTTGGGAGGTTGAAGGACTCTCCCCATCAGCTGGGTCATCTCTCTTGAAACATGCAGCTTGAATTCACTTTCATGGTCGCCGCTGTCAGTGAAAACAAATTTTTTATTGCTCAAGTTAAATTAAGGTCAAAAGCCAGAAAGAGAACTGAGGAGAATTTTTCTTATTTCTTCGACAAATTTGTTAATTACCTTGTTGGCCCAAAGGAACCTGCCATGACTCCATTGATAATGGCTTTTCGTTCTCTTGGCCTCTGGCAGCCCATCTTAAGGATCCTCGCTGTCTGATCATCCGAGAGTTTGCCAAGAAACTTCTGCCCTTCGCAGACCACACAGAGCTCCATAGGCAGGTAACACGGTTTGCTCCTGCTAATTTGCAAGCATGGCAAATTCCTGAATTGTATATCATGGTTGTAATGATCCTTGAAGTAATCCACCAGTCTTAGATCTTTCCCATCCCTGTTCCTAAACCAGAGATTCTCTGTGGCTTCCTCAGTTAAGCTAAAAACTCGATAACGCTGATTAGTTTCTCTATGGCATACAAATATCCTGATGTTCTTCAAGGCCTTCTCGACTTCTTTTCTCTCCTCCCCGACCAAACCTCTGGTCTTCCGGTAGGAAAGGTCCCGCAGGAACTCAAGCCGCTTCTGCAAGTATGGAATTATGCCAATACTTTCATGGAAAGCTGTCACAGAGAAATCCACGTTGAGAGAGAGTCCTTGTTGGGTTGGTCTCAGACTTTGGAAGAACCCTCTCAACCCAACTGCTCCTCCTCCGATATCTTTATCTCCTCCGATTGTGCTCGAGTAGAGTGACCTCCCCACAGGTATACACTTCTCTGTTGGGCTCTCTCGAAGGACGATATCTAATGCATGGAGGTAATCCTGAGGAAGAGGAGTCCAGTCCTCCCCCTCCTTGCTCAAGTAGTTGCTCAATTCCTGTCCATCCAATTTGGAAACGAGCTTGATGTTTACTCGGAAGAGTCTTGGTTCTTCATGCTTCTCTGTCGTCGTGCCATTGATCTCCCCCATCGGCAACAATGATTTGGCTGTGGGGATTGGTAGCCTAATGAAGAACTCAAGCTTGTCATATTGGAATTCAATGGGGCTATAGAGATTCCGTCTGCCGTCGAAGGCTGGATGAGCATCAGATAGCATTGCAGAATAGTCCTGCACGAGTTTCTTTTTGATCATGCGAGCTACTTCCTTGGAAGGATGTGGAGAGATGTCAACATCATAATGGAAAATTCGCTGAGAAGAATCAAATTGAACTAGAAAATGGTTAGCAAGCAAGGGAATTACGGCACCATCAACACCACCGGGATCTGGTCTTCTAGCTGCCATTATAGCCTGTGGTTTGCTAGCCATCTGCCCACTCTCATCTCCATTGTTTAGCTTCTCGGCTATCTGTACGAGCCCCTCTGGGACTGCTTAAACAAGGAAAGAAATTATATCATGACGGAAGAATGCGAAGTATCTAAAATGAGAAAAAAAAAAGAATCACTAATGTCTGTTGAAGCAAGAACTTAAGAAAAGAAAGGCAAAAGACCTCGAGAATTTGAAGTTAGAGTTAGAACCCAGATATCTTCTTGTCAATATTCAAGTTCTCTTATTTTCAGCACTTCAGATTGGTGACATTAAAAGGGTTGCATCTCCTTCCAATAAAACTGCGTCATTCTTCCGTCCTTTATCCCCCAGAAGATAAAAGAATCGGGAAACAAGGAAAGAAAAACAAAAGTACAAAAGAGAAAAGACTTCCAATCTTGACGCAGTATGTTCTTTGGCCATCTTGAAAAGTATCTCCTTCCAAAGAACAGTAGCACGTTTTACCCCCTCGGTGACAGGAAAGAAAAACAAAAGAAAATGAAGAGGAAACAGGATAGAACGAAAAGAAAAAAACAAAAAGAATTCCAGTTTTGGTGCAGCATGTTCTTGCCCATCTTGAAGAGATTCAGGCATTTGTTTTCACTTATAAAAGGAGTTCTTAGGTTGTCCTTATTACTCTATAATCAGTCAGCAGTAACTCGGTTTACAGACATAAAGAATAAAAAAGAAATAACTGATCGAGCAATAAGATAAAGATACTACCTTGTGCAGCTGTTGAAACTGGGACCTGGGTATCGGAAGAGGTGGTCCGAGTAAATTTGTTTTGCTTCCTTGAAATTTTCTGCAAATGGGTTTTCGATCTCAAGTTCTCGTTTTGATGGGGCAGTGGGGTTGCAGGTAGTGGCAGAAGAAGTATTGGAGGAGGTAGAGGAAGAAGGCCTGGGAATGCCTGGTACCCATTCTGGTAGGAAAACCCATTACGATAGGAATGATGTAGAAGGTGGTGTTGATATTGATATTGATTAGGTTCTGTCCTCCCTCTGAACCTCCTGGCCTTAGAATAGCATTTCCTGTCATTTTTCGGCTCTTCCCTTTCTTCCATTATTTGATCGAGAGAGAAACAGAATGAGAGTAACAGGGATGATGACCATGAGAGATAGAAAGAGAAGTGGGGTTTAAGCTGCTGATCTTATTTGTGGAAAAGGCTTCTGAGTTTTGAGGCTGAGCAGCAGGACAATAGTAATTGAAGAACAGTGAAAGAAAGTTGGTTTGAATTTTAGAGGTTGAGTTTTCCTTCTGTCCGGTTCTGTAAAGTGGGTTGATGCTGTCAAATATAAATTCCGAGCGGAAAAGGGATGTCGGGGTCAACTTAAAAAGTTAAAACAGAGCATAAGGCTATACCTGCAAGCTGCAAAAGAATCCATCAAAACCGAGTCCTCCCCCGGCGGAGAGAAGGGAAAAAAAGGAAAAGGAAAAGAAACAAAATAAAAAGAGAGAAAGTTTGAAAAGAAATTTGTCAAATTTGGATGTATTCAATTCAATCTGCATATCGCATGCAATGGTGGGGTCAAGATGCAACAGATCGAGGCTGTGCAGACTAGCAGCCAAGGTGGTTCACCGGTGCCAACCGATAGAGTTAGAGAGTAGATCAAAATTAAAATCAAGTGAAAGCATACACAGCATTGAAGTAATTTTGTTGGAATCTTTCTTTTCTGATATCAAGCAGATGGGTTGTGTAACAAGTAACAACTGTATTTGGGGCATATGTTTTATTGGATTTGGTGTTGCTGGTTGAGAGAAACGCCTCGATGATTTGGAGATCATCATTTGGGAAATTGCAAGGGCCAAGGGGAAATGGGGGATGATGCCCTTATTGCCCCGGTTTGGTTTTAGTTGGAAGGAAACAAAAAGTAGAAAAAGAAAAGTTATTTTATGACTTACTCTTAATTAAACAAAAGAAAGTGGTAACCTTCATAATTAAAAAAGAAGCATCATGGGAGAGACAGACATCTCACCGATTGCTCAAGTTCCATCTTACCTTACCTTCTACCAGTAAAAGACTATATATAAGCTATCATTCACTTTGCTAGGGTTAATTAGTACTTTGTAATAATTAGTTTTTTCCTTTTTTTTTCTTTGTTCTTGTTAAGCACTTATAATATGATGAAGAAGACCTTGTTCAGAAAAGAAGCTGATTAATTAGAAGACTGCTATGTAGCCTCGTTTTGAAGAGAGAAACAATAATTTTGACCTTGGAGCATACAATTATTTGAATAGCCTAGAACAAATATGAATCCATCTATTTGAAAATGTAATTAATTATAAGGGGGACGATAAATATGGAATACTAAGACCATTAAGTCAAATAGAACCATTCAACCTAAAAGTTTAAACTGTTGGGTGAAATCCTTGATTAGACTTTTATTCTCTAACATTCAACCTAAAAGGAACCATTCTCTAACAATTGTCAAGGGTTGAATGGCTTAGATTGTCGTTCTGAGAAAATGGAATCACTCTGGTGCTTGGTGCTTATGGACGCCGAAGCTCTTATGAGGAGTTGCTGTTAAGATCTTTGAAACTCTTTTTTATTATTGCTAATAATTCTCGAGGAAGAGTCAGTCAGGCTTGTAGTAATGGCTCTTTGCTTTTTTTATTAGTCTCTTCATAAAGGAAAAGAAAGAGGAGCTTTGGCCTAAAGGATAGTCATCTAGGCACATTAGGATTAGGGTTAGTTGGAATCAAAATCAAAATCTCTGGAATTGAAATCAGAATGGTCTTCCCCCTCCTCCCCCCTTCTTCTTCTCTTTTTTTTTTGGGGGGGGGGGGGGGGGTTCAGATGGGAATCAGAATTCAAATTGAAATCAGTGGAATAGGATTCCCATTCTCAAGTTAGGGGAGGGAATGGTCATTCCCCCCAAATGGCAAAATGCTTTTATAAAAAAGAAAAGGGAAATGCTATTCCAACAGCAACCAAATAGTTATTCTAGATCTCTATTCCTGTAAACCAAACAGACCCTTTAAAAGATAAAAGTACTCTAAAATTTGTAAGGCTCAAAACAATTGGTCCCACACAATGAAAAACCCAAAATAGAGGTTTACTAAACCGCCTAAAGCCACTAAAAATGTGGCCCTCTACAAAGACCCTTAAAATTAAAGAGAGAACTGTGACTTAAAATTAAGCCACTCCAATCCCTACACTTTGATGAAACAAAGAACCTTGCCGGATAAAAAGCGTATCTTCGTCTTCTGATTGATACTTGTTTAGCCCAATTTAATACTCAACCCAACCCGATGATATCAGTTCCTACTGTACGACAGGAAAACTACTTGCTGAAAAGAATATTTAAATTAGCTCCAGCCTCCAAGACTATAAGCAGCTTGTAAGTTGTAACCTAATGGGTTATAGGCTTATTATAGCTTCTTTTAATATTTATCCAATAAAAGCTTGCAGCCTTGCATTGAGAGAACAAAGAGAAGAAATTGTAACATGGTTTGCAGTGCGGGGCCAGGGCTAACTCTTTTGGGAAAGAACATTGGTCGCTTATAAACTCAGTCCCCAATGCCACCATGTACTCATTATTGCATGGCCATGGATGACAAGAAAAAAACAGGCATAATATTCTAAAACATATTATATATATATATATGTAATATAGGATAAATTACTATTATGGTTAGTGACAAATACTCCTTCTAACTTTCACTTTGTGACAAATACCCTTGATTAAGGGTATCAATTAGATTGGATTTGGTTTAGTTCGAAATCTTATCCGGTCCAATATGAGTTCATTGCAAATTGATCAGGTCCAATCCAATATGATGAATATCTGGACCATTTTGGATCAATCCAATTCAATGTTTGGACCATCCAATCTGTTCAAATTGATTTTAATTTAAATTGGTACTAACTCAAATCTAATATTGACACATGTGTCCTTATCTTTTATTAATGGACCAAATATTGGTTCAATCCAACCCAATCCAATATTAAACTATTATGGATGGACCAGGTCCAATCCAATTCAATAAATACTTTGGACCATTAGATCTAGGTTGGTCCAACTCAATATGTCTTATTGGTCCGTCAAATCCATCCAAATTGATTTTGATTTAGACGGGGTCCAACCCAAAACCAGTCCATTAACACCCCTACCCTTGACTATTAATAGGGGTGAGCATGGGTCGGTTTGGTTCAGTTCCATGGCAGAACTTGGAGCTACCCTATAGGGGTCGGTTCCAAGTTTTTGGAACTGGAACCTACCCTGTGAAGGTTTGTTTTAGGATCGGACCACCAAGGTTGATTCATCAAATCGGTTCGAGTAGGGTAAACCCCTAGGCCCTAGAACCAACATGGGTAGGAGTCGATTCCAAGAATTTGGAACTAGACCATACCTTGTAACAGATCGGGTAGGGTCAGTTCAAGGTTGGTTCCATTTGGTTCTAGGTAGAACTTACCCATTTGCTCACCCCTAACTATTAAGTCCAATGGCAAAATGCGCTAAATTATCAAAATGTGCACTTAAAACTTTCTTTTATCTTTTTCTTGCACTTTTCTCGTAAATCCTAATTGACCAAAAATACCTCCATTTTCTCTAAACAAAATCTGCTAAAATAAAAACAATCATTTCACTAGCATAGAAAAAAAAAACTTCTCAAAATTTTTTATTTATTTCATGTCTTTCATCGTCTTAAAACATAAAAAATATCCACTCATTTCTCCAATAAATCAAGAAAATCAAATGAAACCATGAATTTATATATATTAAAGGGAAACCTCTACCATTTCATTTGAATATTTGAATCCAACCAAAAACTTAAGAATCTATTAGAACAACTGGGAGGACTTCAATATTATATTTAAAAAAACTAATCAAATCATAAATCATTCAAATAAATAAGAAAAGGATAATCTTAAAATTTAAATAATAAAAAATTTAAAGAACTGAATGAAGATCTTTTTCAAAAGGGAAATTGTCTAAAACTCGCCATGAGTTTTCAGCATTTCTCTTAAACTCACCACAACTTTTCAAAATGTCTAAAACTCACCATGTCACTAACTTGACGTTAAACAGACTAACGGGTGTTAATATATTACCATTTTAATATTTAGGCATGAATAAAAGGAAAAAAGTTCAAAAAATATTTTCAAATATAAAATACATAAAAATATAGAAACTACAAAAATATAAAAAATTATAAAAATTGCAAACAAAATAAAAACTATTTTCAAATTATAGAAACTATAGAAATTGAAAAACAAAATCAGAAAATAAAAATTGTAGAAAAACACCAAAAATTATAGAAAAACACAAAAATTGTAAATAAATAACAAAAATACAGGAAAACTTATAGATTGTAGAAAATAGAAAATGTAAAAAAAAAACAGAAATTATAACAAAACACTAAAAATGCAAAAAAATAAAAATAAAAAATTGAAAACTGAAAATGACTATTTTTCCTCTAACTCACCATTCAAGAGTAATTTAGTCATAAAAATTGTTATTTATGCTGACATAGACACCTCTTTTAAGAAGCATTGACATTTAACAGTACACCGACAGAAGATACATTTTAAAATATAAAAACTTACTGACATGGTGAGTTTTAGACATTTTGAAAAATTATGACAAAAGTTCAAAAACGTCTTTATAAGTAATATATTATCATGCTCAGGCACATTACATCCTCTTCAAACACAACACGACGCTGTGTCTTCTCGCCTCCCTTGGCCATCCTCCTCTGCTTATACCTCATTTATTGTTCCACAAAAGTTTCTAACTTTTACTATTGGGGAAGGCTCACTTATCCACTTTAGGGTTATGGGTCGCTTTTGTTTTTATTTAAGGGATAGAGATAGATAGGAATGTGGTGATGGAACACTTAATGGAGCCTAGATAGAAATTAGTAGCCTACAATTTATCATACTTGAGATTAATTAACAACATAGATTTTCTCCTGGAATTATTCTAGACTACTTGAGTTATATAATTGGGCCGATTTTCTCTACACAGAGCTTCTCTTTCAACCATGAAGAACTAGAGGTACATCGTTGACATCGAAAGAAATCTTATATTGTTTGAAAGAAAATGAGTTATGGGTAGGTCATGAAATGGAGGGGTTTATTGGAAATCCATACCTGTATTTTAGCGGGTTTGAATAATCAAAGTTTCATACAATTCTTATGGGTCAGTCAGATAAAAGTGTGGACCAAGTACTGATCCCGTCGTATATGTTTATTTTCCCTTGGAACCGATCCTTATTCTACCATAAAGCGTAAATGGATCAGCTATATATGGACCCAACCTATGAGATCCATCTACGGTTTGGACCCGCACCTGCACCCATTTACCCCAATTTAGATATGGATGGACCTGACAGTACGGTCGGATCGGGTTGGCCAGGTAAAGGCTAAACCCTAATTCTGAAATATTGAAGTTAGGGTTCACCTATGGACAAGTCAATGGTTCAATCATTTGGCTTAACTGAAAGTTACAGGTTTAACTGTCTGGGTCAATACCAATTTGAAAAGAAGTGACATGACCCAACCCGAAAAAAATTTGGGTCAGGTCGATCAGGTTAAGTTGCCTTTTGACTCGGGCCACTACATAGGGGATCCAAACCCGCCTTTTCCGATCGGGTTTACGGGTTGAGTTGAATTATTGCAAGGTCTAGATATTGGATCTAGAAGTGGTGGGTCTAATCCAGATCCAATCTATTTCATGCCCTAGATATGAACTATGAAGCCTTACTCTGGAAATAAATGAACTCAGCGTGGTAAGCGAAGGATATATATAGTTCCATATATAGCTAGCTATATGGGACTATGCATCAAGTCTCGTGCCTCCACATGGACCTTCCCCCAATGAATGGAGACACATCGCGCTTTCTCAAACCCAATTACGAATTTAAAATTATAATCCTATCCTATTATAAACCTATAAAGAAAGGAGGAAGACAGACTCTACCTAATTTAAATATTTTACTTTTACATATGGTAGCTGCTAATTTTCTATTTCCGAACCAAGTTCGCATAGTACAGTTTTGCTTTACCCAGAAAAAAGGAATCCAACTGCGTGGTTTCTGCTGCCAATTTTGATAAAGAAATCGATGTTGAATATTTGGTTATTTGATTTGAGTTTGATTCGAATTAGAGATTTGAGTTCGAGCTCGATTCGGTTTAAAGTCTGTAAATTTGAGCTCGACTCGACTTAGCTCAATTGCAAGTCATTTTTTTTATTTTACATACAAAAAAGTAAGAATTATAAAAAATATTTATTATATATATTTATATATATATGTATGTTTTATGTATATAATAAAAAATAAAAATTATTTATTTGTTATTATGAGCCGACCTTTATTGGATTCGAGCTTGGCTCAACTAGCAAGCAAGCCTATATATTAGACTCAAACTTAGTTCAAAGCTCGATTTAAATTGAACCGAGCTCGAATAACTCGTAAAAAACTCGGCTTGTGACCATCCCTACTTTCAATTCAAAATTTTACAGAGTTCAAAAATGTCAAAAGAATTTTTTTTCTCGGTAAAGAAAAGCTCAAATACGTCAGAATTAAACGATTTTCTCTTCATTTACTTTGGGTCTTTGGAAATGTTGTTTCCATCAAATACAAAATTCATAGCAAATCCCTTGGCCTGGGCTATGTTGGAATTCTTTGCATGACCTGGGCCATGCAATGCAGCAACTGGTGTCCTGATAGGCAAATGGCGCCGCAGAGAGTGAGCTCTGGCTCTAGGCAATCATCACAGGCATAAAAAGACTGATTGATCAGTTGGGCATCACAAGAGCTGTTATAATTTCCAATGCCAAGGATTTGTTAACCAAGATTAGAGGGACCACTGAAAACATACGTGAAGGTTCTTTTGGATCATTTCTTAACTCTATTGTCGTTTTATGTGATATAATTTAGCTCGTAGAGAAAGAACTTCTGGAACTAAGTTTTTTTTGTCAGAACTCTCCCCCTTCAGTTCTGAATATGCTCTTTTGTACAAGGGGGATTAGTTTGTATCCGTGACTGTTTTCAATGGATCCTCTTTATCGAAAAAAATAAACATGAGAACTCTGCTAAACCTTCGCCAGAACTTAAAAGTAGTTGAGAAGATTCAGATGAGAAAATATTCGTACATTCTTAAGGCTGTGTTTGGTTGCAATACAAATAAATTTGTATTAATGTAAAATCATGGCAGTGTAAATGATTTGAATGTAAATTTGACCTCTTTTTATTTTAAAATTTAACTTATTTTGTTTGATTACAATATAAATTAAGTAAATTAAGACATGAAGCAAAATAAAGTAAAATCCAAAATAAAATTAAATAAGAATTTGTAATTTTTTTTTTTTTTTACATTTGCATTCCCATACATTTATACTAATACAAATAAATTTGTACTGCAACCAAACACAGCCTAAAGATTTTAACAACATCAAATGCTCAACTGTGATGCATTGCTTTCTCTCTGGTTCAAGTTTTTTGCCTAAAGATTTATCTGCATGAAGTTTATATATTGGGTTCTACATATTGCATGCTGCAGATGTTGCCTCTACTACAGTCTACACTAGGGTAGGCATAACATTCAGATCAACTTTGTTTAATCCATGTTCTCGGAGCTCGTATTACAAATTTGAAAACATGACACGTGTAATATATTCTGAGCATCAACGTATGAGTTCAAATCAGCCCCCCACAATGATTCTACAGTACATCCCTGCTGTGTTTTGGAATATCTCCCGATGATATATCAGAAATGTCATAATCAGGAGATATTCCCAATAACCGGCAAAGATATATTATGGGACATTGTGGAGAGCAATCTCTCAAGGTATCAGTCCCAACAGCATGCGGAAAAATCAGAGACGTTTCAAGAGTGAAGAGTATGTGGTCATTGACGTGTTCATACTCTTGACTCCTGAAACGACAATCAAGTTTGAAAGGTGCCACACTGCCACCCACCCTAGATTTGCTGCAAATACAAACATGATGTATAATGGACAAAATACAAATGAGCACGCGAGTTTGGACTGTCAAACCTCGTAGCAGAGATTTGGAATGGATTGTATCTCACTGCCGGCCACTAGGGTTTTTTTTTTTTTTGAAGGGGAGGGGATTCTATAGGATCTCCTAAGGCAAAAAGAGCCAAAAACCCCATAAGCACTCTGCAACCAACGGGCCCAGCTATACATTATTAGGAAATATATTCTCAATGTAAGGCTGGACTCTGCATGTCTTTCTGAATAAATTGCCTTGGTAATGTATAAAACATTTTTTTTTAAGAAAACGATGGTTTTCCGAACTCTTGAAAATCAGTAAATCACTCATTATTCAAGACTCGAACAGAAATGATTTTGATTTTTTTGCTTTTTACCCTCTAACAAAAGGGCACGTTGGAAAATAAACGAGATGTTTACTCTATTTTATGGTTTTAAAAAAAGATCCGGAAACGGAGCTGTTTTGGCCACCGGTTTCTGGGTTGACAGTTTGATTGTCTGATTCGAACGGATGGTCCATTCTGACAAATAAAAATAAAAAAACAGCTAAAAACTGTTGAATGGGTCGATGGTTCGATCACCTAGGTCAACAAGTCGTTGATTGATTTAGCAGTTTTTGGCTAGGGACCGGGTTTGGGGTAAAACAGAACTGGTTGCCTGAATGGTTCGTGGGCTGAATGGTCCAACCATCCAGGTCAACGGCAGTTCAAAAACCATGCTCTACTTAAGTACTAGACCAACTCGGTACCTCATAAATTTCATCTGCCAATGTTTAGAATGCAGGTTTGAGAAGAGTTTGACAATCCAAACAGACCCTGCTCCCCTGTTTTTTTTTTTTTTTTTGGTGGGATCATGGGGCTAGACAACCAGAGGGTAGCCCGTCCTCATACCCATAACGAACCCGGATTTCCTGAAAGCAAAAGTTTTGAGAACAAATATGTCTAAAATCAATTCCAAGATCTGAGAACCAATTCTTTAAGGCTATGTTTGGTTTGAAGGAAAAAGTAAAGAAAGATAGGAAACCTTTACAAATGCTGTATAGGTTTTCTTAACTTTCCCTTCCTTTCCTTACCAAAGGTAGCGTAAATGATTTTTTAAGAAATATGTCGTAACAAATTGCTTATTTTCACATGCCAGAGATTGGTTGATAGTGGCAATTTTGTTAATCGATTCTTTCAACCAAACATCTCCGGCCGTGAGAAGTTAGACAGGTAATTGTAATTCTCGTCAAACTTAAAAGTCAGGAATGAATTTGAGATAATATTGTAATTTACCTACCCACGCTGTAATTCTTTGCCTAGGCTACGGATTCCTTGTTACAAGCGACAAGCCATTGATACCAAAGGACACACGACAGAGGATCCAATAAGCAAATATGAGATTCACCTGCATGATACACATCACCTTTTAGCTACAGAGCTTATTCAAATCACACGGGCAAGCACTACCGTTATGAGACTGTTAAAGATTTGTTAAGCGCAACCCATGGCAATCATTTGCAATCGAATCTTTCTGTTATTTGCCTTCCATTGTAATGGTCTGAGGCGACCCTCTCTCCATATATTTTGAGTCACCTGCAAATGGATCAGGATCATTGACCATTTCTCTCTCTCCTTTTATTTACTTCATACCTTCTCTCTGAATAGGTTTCTAATCCCTCTCTATGCGGTGCTTCAGCACTACAGCTCGAACTCGAAGAACCCTTCTCTCTTCTCAGAGGAGAAAAAGGTTTGTATCATTCTTCAGGCATTGTGATTTATGAGGTTCACGTCTTTAAGAAGGTTAAGCTGTGGGATGCTACCGACTACCGCCTACCGGTTCTATTTCTGTTCCGGCATTCCGTAAATAATAGTCAAAAGCAGCCAGACTTCGGCATTGTAGAGTGGCTTTAATAGTACCCATCATGTTGGACAAACTACGTTTTTTTTTCCTTAAAAAGCATACAACAATCTTTGGTTGCAACTTACAGAGAAAACAAAAGCAATCGATCTTACTTTACTAACATGAAACATGGACATAATAGGGTTCTGTCCTGTACAACGATGATATACAGAAAAGACAGCAGCAACCACATCACTCCAAATGTGTTAGAATACACTTTTGATCGATTGTCCTGGCCACTATCATTACCACAAATCACCATGCATCTTCCACGGAAGGGGGAGTGGAGGATAGTCTGCACAGGAAAAGGAAATCCCGTTCCAAACTCAAAATGGAGTAGATGATAGAAGGGGAGAATTATGGCTGTCACGATTTTCAGAGTACTGGATTGGCAACAAAGCTGGGTCCCGATAGGCAGTAACCAGTTTGTCAAGAAAATCAGTCATTGAAGCATCATTCTCGTTTTCTTTGTCTTTCTTTATCAAACTCTGCAGAAAAATCAATCTCAGTAATCAGTACAGTGAATGGACCTTTAAACTGATGAAAATAGGGGCTGAGAACCTGGTAAAAAGAAATAATGCAGAATGATCAGAAATAATTATCTGACATGACCAGAAGTATGTTATTAGAATAACCACATTAAGGGCAGGGCATGCATAGAGATGAAAAATAGTTCAAAGACGAATGGCCAAAAACTACCCAAAAGCAACTACCGCTGTTGCCTAGACAAAATTAACCATGGGGGAGATTGAAAATGACCCTCGTATGATTAGAGATGGAGTTGAGCATCATCGTCATCTAAGCCTTGTCCCAACTATATGGGGTCGGCTACATGAATACTGTTTCAGTGCCCATATCCATCATCATCAGGAGTTAGCATGACCCTATTAATTATATCAAGAAAACTATGAATAGTAATGACCAACTTGAGACTTGAGAGGGATGAAGTAATTGAACAGACTCGTTAAAGGGTCATCACCCAATGATGGTCCTGGCTATACCCAATTTCTTGCACAGTGGCCTATCAGAAACTGCATTCCTATGCTTGTCGGTCTAAGATTTTACTGTTAACCCTGCAATCTGGGTTTCAAATCTATTCATTCTATTCCTTAAAATGAGCCATATGGCATCATACATCTAACCAGAAAATTTCAACAAATCTACTCCAAATAGAAGACTTACTGGACTGCAACCAAATTCATCAAGATCATAATCGACTAAAATGGGATAATACACTCGTGGTAGTCTGGTTAATAATTAACTAAAACAAAATACCAAGTGGAAAATCAATAGAGCAATATTGATGATACAACTTTTTTCCCTAGTACCATTAAAAATGCATCATACACCACATATTTGCAACATCATGTCTCAGATCCCTCGTGTGTCACTAAAGGCTACACTATTTCAGATGTATGGTGTACTATGATGCATTTGTAAAAGGTACAAAAATATCTCCTTAGCATTTCTCAAGTAAATATTCTAGATGATCCTATCATTCTATTCTTCTTCAGATTAACCTTGTCCAAATGGCTAATAAGACTAGTCACGAGTCTCCTTCATTGCCAACTTCTAGACCTGCATCCAATAAAAACAACTGCCGAGTGAATTTAGTTCTAAATGAGAACCCTTTTTGTATCACTCGGAACATTTCCAATGACAAACATATGATGGATAGCATGTTGACCTTTGTGCAGAATAATACTATGCATCTTTAAAGCCATCATGATAGATTCCTAGGCCAAACCATCTGGACATCCACCTGATATTGTCTTCAGAGAAATATGATTAAAGCTTTCTTATCCCATCCCTTGACCACGTCTGTAATACATTGAAATTTTGTCCAATCACTCACTAAAAAATGCACGTAGGGCTGTCAATGGACCGGATTTGGACTAGATCCGTTCCAATCTAACAAGGACCCACCAAGTCAAATCCGATCTAATCCAAATCTAATTCATGGGACTCCAAATCAATCCATTTGAATTGACAAGGATATTGGACAAATCTGACCCAATCCAAAAAAAATGGTAGCAATTGATATAAAATCCAAAAAACAAATATTTTAGCAAAAAAAACAGTAGAAAGTGCTGAAAAAACACAGAAATTATAGAAAATATGAATATATATTTATTTAACCAAAAATATTAGAAATTGCAGAAAATACAAATTCCAATTTTACCAGAGTAAGCAAAGTTTAACATTTTTTCGAACAGATGATGTCCAACTCAGGACTTCATATTCAACGAATAGAATCAGATTCATCAACAGAGCAATCCATGTATGACATGATGTATAATGTTAAACATCTCTTAACCAACCTGCTGGGATTGGGAAGATGCCTTCTTACCCTTTCCCTAAGCTATGGTGACCGACCTGCACTGCTCAAAGGAAAAGAGTATGCACTCTAAAGGAGAATGACACCTAGAACAGAATTGAATAATCAAACCTGTCGAATTCCATTCATTGATCTCCTTTTATTACAACTAAAGTCGACAATCATGCCAAAAATTAATTTTCAATAGATCAAACCTTCTATTAAGTCTAAAAAGAAAAAACCCTTCTATTAAAGACTTGAGACATGTTAGCATATTCCGACTGTTGTTATAACAGTCGTAACAGAAAGCTTCTTGCAATTTAACAACCACCCAACAGCTGGACCTCAATCACTTGACAGCTGGCCAAATTGGCCCACTTGTCTAAGTCGGTTATTTTGTAATATATATATTTGCCATATATCTTAATAAAAGATCAGAGTCTTCTTCCTCTGCTTTCTGGCGTCTGATAGCATTTTACATGGTATCAGAGTGGCACAAGATCCTCAGGTTTTCATTTCTTCAAGATTGGTAATGGAGATTGATGGAAGCTCACCGTATTTCTTGCACCCGTCAGACAATCCAGGAGCTGTGTTGGTTTCCTCTCCACTCGTCGGAGAAAACTTCCCGGCATGGCAATGCGTGATGAAGACAGCTTTAAAGGCAAAGAACAAATTCTGTTTTGTTGATGGATCTTTGCCACGCCCTAATGCTACATCGCCGGAAGAATCGGCTTGGACGAAATGCAATGCGATGGTTACCTCGTGGATCCTCAATTCATTGTCCCGTGACATATGCAACAGCGTAGCATTCATAGAATGCACAGCTGAAATCTGGAAGGAGCTCAAAGAACGGTTCTCGCAAAGTAACGCTCCCCGTATACATCAACTGAAACGGGAACTGGTTCTTCTCCAGAAAGGAAATCTCACAGTCACCGGTTATTTCACTAGACTAAAGACACTCTGGGATGAATTAGGAACACTCGTAACCATAGCTGAATGCTCGTGTGGAGCAGCAAAGATTCTTGCTGCTGAAAGAGACAAGGAGAAACTGCACCAGTTTTTCATGGGACTCAATGACTCCAATTCAATTAGATCTGTGATTCTTGGATCTGATCCGCTGCCTATTATGAGTTGTGCTTATACTCTTGCACTCAAGAAGAAAAGCATCTATTCACCATATCTATGCGTAACTCTCCTGGTCAGCCAGAAGCAGCAGCACTAAATGCCTCTACTAGACCAAATGGACGAGGATCGGGTTCAAATGGACAAGCTAGGCAATGACTGCGCTGTGATCACTGTAAACGGAACTGTCACACCAAAGACCACTGTTATGAGCTAATTGGATATCCAGAGAATTGGGAAAATAATCGATCAAGCCGATGGTTTGATTCTAAGGGTCCACCACATCAACCTCGATCTACATCATGTGCAGCTACTGAATCCTCAGAGACTGCTGCTAGCTCTCCCATCCTAGGGCTCACGATGAATCAATACAATCAACTTCTATCTCTTCTTAATAACGACAGGTCTGAATTTGCTTCAGCCAATACCTCTGGTAAGGTTCTACCTCCTCCCAGTTGGATTCTTGACAATGGTGCTTCTGACCACATGCTTGCATCTGAGTCTATGTTTACAACATCCCAGTGTTTGAGTCATAAGAGGCTTGTTAGCTTACCAAATGGAACTTCTATCTCAGCCACTCATAAGGGGTCTGTGAATTTTGGTTCCCATACTATACATAATGTTCTGTATCTCCCACAGTTTAGATGTAATCTGCTCTCTATAAACAAACTGACCAATCAGCTCAACTGTGCAGCTATATTTTTTCCAACATTTTGTGTTCTTCAGGACCTTGCCTCCAAGAAAGTGATTAGAGTAGGCAAGCTCTGTGATGGCCTCTTACCATTTTACAACCCCTACACAGTCATCTTCAGCACACGTAGCTGCTTCTTCCACTGTAGATAACATAACATGGCATAGACGTCTTGGCCATGCCTCACGACAGCGCATCTCACTCATCAGTGGTATACCTGTCACACCGGGAGATTTCTGTTGTCATTCATGCCATCATGCTAAACAAACACGAATTCCATTTCCAGTTCGAGTATCCCACACCACTGCTTCTTTCCAGCTTGTGCATTGTGATTAGACCTGTTCATGGGCCGGGCCGGGCTCGGGCCGGGCTTTTACTGTGTATTAACAAATTTTTTTAAGGCCCGAGCCCGGCCCAACCATCGGGCCTACAATTTGGGCCCGAGCCCGGCCCTCATAAAAAGCCCAAAGCCCGAGCCTGGGCCCGGGCCCGAAATTTAGCCTATATTATTATTATTAATGTTGAAGCAGCTGAATAAAGAGAGAGATAGATTGAAATTATAAAGAAAAGAATAAAATATATATATATATATNATAGATTGAAATTATAAAGAAAAGAATAAAATATATATATATATATTAAATTATAAATATATATTTTAATAAATATTATATTATTTATATATTTTATATAATATATAAAATACATATTATATATTTTATAAAATATATAATATTGAGTCGGGCCGGGCCGGGCTCGGGCTGGGCTTTTTTGACAAATCCCGAGCCTGGCCCGAAACACAGTCGGGCTTACTGTATTAAGCCCGAGGTCAGGCCCACGGGCCTAATTATATGACCAAGCCCGGCCGGGGTGCGGGCCGGGCCGTCGGGCTACCCGGCCCATGAATAGGTCTAATTGTGATATCTAGGGAGGTTACCGAACAACTGCATCTCACTCTGGAGCTCATTTTTTTCTTACTGTCGTTGATTTTAGTAAATGCACTTGGGTCTATCTCTTAAGAAATAAATCAGAGGCTGTGTTTTTTCTCATTACTTTTTGTGCCATGGTAAAGCAACAATTTAACTGTGGTGTACAATGCGTACATTCGGACAATGGTTTTGAATTCATTTCAAAGCCTATGCAACAATATTATGCTACTAAAGTATCATTCATCAGAGATCTTCCACAGATACACCCCAGCAGAATGGCATTGCTGAACGCAAGCATCGCCATCTACTTGAAGTCGCTCGAGCTCTTCAGTTTGAAGCTTCTCTCCCTACAACATTTTGGGGGAATGTCTTCTTACAGCAAATTATCTCATAAACTTGCTCCCAATACCACAATTATCAGGCAAATCA